AAGCTCACAACGATGACAACAACGAATCCTCCACGTTACCTTCCATTTCAGGACAGCATGTATGATGGGAATGGGGATCAACAATCAATGGTTCAGCACACCACTGTGATCATCAGCACTGAGCCACCAAAGGACCATATTATCTGGTCCCTCCTCTGCTTTTTCTACTCAAACCCCTGTTGTCTTGGGCTTGCAGCTCTTATTTATTCTATCAAGGTGAGGTTAAATAAATCGGGTTTTTCATGAACTAAGCATCTGTTATACTTCTGTGTGTCTGTGTGTGCATGAAAAAATATATTAATATTTTAACTGGCTGCTTACTATGACCTACATTATATTGATTTGACCATATAGATCAAGTTAATATCCATGAACTCCAACTACACTTTTACAATCTATATGTTTCTGTCCTTTTAGGCCAGAGACCGGAAGGTGGTTGGAGATTTGGAGGGTGCACGGCATTATGGGGCCACTGCTCGCCAGCTTAACATCACCTCCACAGTCCTGGTTGCCCTTGGACTCCTGATATTCGTTATTACGATGATAGTTGTTTTTGCACGGGTATCTCGTTAAGCCCTCAAAGTAACACACCCTGACAAAACGTTTCCTTTTAACAGATTGCAGTGCATTGCTTGCTGCTGTGACTTTGGATTTGGATGATAAATATTAGCATCAACTTTATAATCAGTCTTCATTGTGTCTTTTGCTAGAAAAAGATACAATTTCATCTATCTATCTATCTATCTATCTATCTATCTATCTATCTATCTATCTATCTATCTATCTATCTATCTATAGAAAAGGACAGAAACATATATATTTATATATATATATTTTTTCATATTTCAGTGAAGGTAAATGCATATAAAGATGATTTTTAGATAATTAATTTAATGTTTGTGCCTATCTATCTACACCCAGGTGAAAAATAAGCACACTGCATTTGGCGTTTGCTAAATTACATATGGAACAATGAATGACAGTATACGGAATTCTTCTTTGTTCACAAAAACCTTTTTTCTGTAGCTGTGGATGATGCTGCATATTCACTGACGGGGATCTCAGCTCATTTGTTGCAGGAAAATCTTTTTATTGAGAGGTTTCATTTTCCACTCACTAATATTCCACAGAAACAGTGTGGACATTTCATCCCCTTAGAATTTGTTCGATTTAGAGAATTTAGAGTTGATTTGTAAGCTATATTATAAAAAAAAATATTATCTTTGTGATTTAAATGGTGTTGGACTGTAACTCATTAAAAAAATATTACTAGGGTTTTATTTTATTTTATTTCAGATTCCATCGATTTCTGGGAGCTCTGTAGCCTCAGTAGCAATTCTTTCTTCCTTTTTTGAAAAGTATGTTGTAGTATAATGGAAATAGTCTACTTCTGAGGAATTGTTGTTTTAAGGTTTATTTCCAGTAGAGTAGGTGTCGACTGATTGTTGTTGTTACACTAAACTGTCCATCTTTACTCAATAATTGTCTCACTTTAGGAGCTGCAACAGCAGATCATCTTTCTCCAGCTCACCCCATCTCTCGCATCCTCCTCTGTTACACCAACCCTCCTTCACTATACCCTTGAATCTTTTCTGTGGTCTTCCTATTTTCCTATGAAGCCATACTTCTACTCACTGATGTTCACTTCTCTCTCCCTAAACTATCTTCACCAACTCTTTCCCATAGCTTCATTATATGGCACACAAACTTTATTCTTGTGTAGTTACTACAGTTCTGCACATCTCCCATGTTCTCAAAAACCAGAACCAGTACACTTCTTCTCCATTCCTCAGGAATCCTCTCACTCTTTAAGATTGCGTTAAACAGTGTGGTCTAATGGTTAGTGGTGTGCGGATCGATACTGAAATATTGATTCTTCCGATACCAGTAATTTATGTTCTAGAATCGATTCTCATACAAAAATATCAATATTTAAGTACTCTGGGGTAAATTTGTAGTTTATCATTAACAGGAACACAGTTAAGAAAGAAACTATATCATTCAGATCTTCTAAATTCGAAGGAACTACTTCCTCTTACGCCTTTCATAGACATATGCAAAATACAGCTCTATAAATGTGTCGCAGCCCCTGGCATGCGCACTCACAACAGTGGCTGAGCGTAAACGGAGTCATGTGTGGACATTTTTTACCTCCACAAACAGCCAAGACGCGATTTGCGATACATGTGGCAAGACAGTGAAGTGTTGTGGCAACACCACTAACCTCGTCAAACACCTCAGAGTAAATCATATCAAAGAATATGATGAGCTTATGTTGAGGCGAAGTGAAGAGGAGGAGAGGGACAGGTGCTGCTAGGGCGAGACAGATGTCTCTCGCAGAGTCCTTTAGTGCTGCAGGCAGGCAAGGTGTTTAAACAGGCAAAACTTCAAGTTTTTTTTTATTTCTATATAATTCTGCATTATTAAGCAATATGAACAAGTAGTCTGATGTCCTTTAATCATTATTAAGCTATATCCTTATATTATTACTACAATTACATAATTCAATATATAATTGC